GAACCGTGGAGTTGGCATGGGAGTTCAAATCTTCCCCACATTTGAGATAAATGGAGACCAGCACAACCTCCCAATGTTGCCTCTGCAGAACATTGGCCAGAAATCCATTGCCATCCAGGTCAAACTGGTGTAGTTTGGTCGACCCAGTTTCCCAGGCCGGTAGAGATTCTGGGATGATTCTGGGTGCCAGCGGCTTCTACACAATGCTGCTTTGACTTGCTCCATTTTGTGACCTTGAAGGTGAGTCTCCACCATCATGACTACTTGATGATCCTGTTGTAGGACCCACTCCTTGGCAGCATTGTTCCATTGCGTGACATTGCTGTAGGAGATTTCAATTCCTTCTCCAGTTAGTCGCGGCCTCTTCACAGGTGGTTCAAAACTACCAATCGTCCTCGTCCAGAAATGAGAGTGCTCTGTTCTAGACGCCCAAATCATGACTGCTCCTGTCTGAAACACCTCAGGGATATTCTTCTGCGCTTGAGGGCATTGATCGTCATCTACCGACCAAAGTGCATCTCCCTCTACAAGCAAAGAAACATAGTGCCCTGACGAGAGATCTTCACCTTGATGCGCAATGACTCCCCTGAGAACAAAGGTGGCTTTGCCTCCATGATCAACACCCAAATCAATGCCAAAATGTGCACGGTCTTGCTCACTTGGGAATGGATGTTCATGACAATCCCCAACGTTCACATACGGCTGCAAACCTTGATGGGCATCATGTACAAGTGCATCAAGTCCTTTGCACACACCTGCATCCAAAGTTTGCCCCCAGTCAGCTGCACTTTGCTTCTGTCCCCAAGCAAGGTGAAGTGACATGTCTACTCTCCATACATTCAAACAATCCCAAGCGTTTGAAAGCTCCCCAACTGCTTCTGGCTTCCTCCAGGACCCCTTCACTGCAGGAAAACACTCACACCCATCTCCTTTTCCACCACAATGAGTCTGGCTGTTGTTACCCACTCAACTGGGTGTCACCTTCCGTCTTGCGGCGCTTGGCCAAAGTTTCAGCCAAGTTTCTCTCCAGCTCTTTCTGCTGCTCCGAATTGAAAATGATGCCTGCCTGACCCAGAGCTTTCAAGACATGCTCCGTGGCATCTGCATCCAAAACATGCTCATGTGCCTGGGCCAAGGGCACTGCTTCCGCCTTCAGCTGTTTGGCATAGGCTTCAGACTGATCTCCAAGTTGCTTATGCTCTTTGTCAATTGCTTCCTGCACAGCCTTGAGTTCATCCAGCAGCAACTTGTACTGATCCTTTGCCTGGTCAACTCGCCTCTGAAGGGACTGCTTCTTGGTGGCCAGTTGTCGTAGTTCGCCAACCGTGGCCTTGAGCTGTCCTGTCACATCCACATTGGCTGCAGGCGGAGGTTTGATGAGACCAACCACTGCATCTTTGACTTCCTTGGGCAAAGAGTCCAAGTGGGCCTTCAAAACCTCCGGGGGCATCTCCGGCTCCGGGGTGAAGTCGATCCCAACCCCTTTCAGGGCTTCTTGTGTATCCGCTGGCATGGACCCCCAAGCTTTCCTCAATGTGGCCTCAAGTGCATTGCCCTCTTGCTTCTGCTTGGTTCCCAAGCCAGGCGGTGGTTCGGCTTGAGCTCGATCCCTGCCTCTTGCCTTCTTCACCTTTCGAGTAGGTGATGGGCTCACTGTCCAGGCCTCCTGTGCTGGCCAAGGTGTGCCACACTTGTTGCATCCCCATTGAGTGGAGTTGACCCGGTCAGCCCAAATCCAGGAGGAACTGCATCCTTTGCAAGCCACATATGTCTTGCGGCTTCGAACCTTCTGGTAATCCTGGATGTAGCCTGTCCACTCCATCTCCACCAAGGAACAAACTCTGTCAGGCCTTCTTCAATCTCGGATTACGGGCAAGGTCAAAGCCACTCCTCTGATAGGAAAGGTCCTCTAGCTCTGCTAGGAGGTAGGGCCAGTGCTGATGTCGATCTCCTTGAGGACCACACCAGCTTGAGCCACCTAGATCCTTGAGCCCAAACTTGAGCCACTCTCTCTCTCTCTTCCTTCTCTCTCTCTCTCTCTCTCTCCCTCCCTCTCTTCTCTCTCTTCTCTCACCTCTTTGAAAGTTGAACTTAATGACCAACCTTTCGTCCACCCCTCCCACTCAAGCCCTCCTATCCTCAAATGACGTGTGTTCCTGCAAGGGTGTCGACGTTTGCGTCGAAGCGGGCGCGTCAACGCCAGATCTACCGTAAGCAATTATATCCATCACCCAACTTTGTGTCCATTAGCATTAAAAACAAGATGGAGCCCACGAACCCGAATGCAAACACGTTCAAAAAGCTACATATGTCCAAATGACAACTCTTGTAGGAAACTCTTGTGGGACACTCTTGTGGGTCACTCTTGTAGGAAACTCTTGTGGGACACTCTTACGGGACACTCTTGTGGGACACTCTTGTGGGACACTCTTGTGGGACACTCTAGTAGGAAACTCTTGTGGGACACTCTTGTAGGACACTCTTGTGGGATACTCCTGTAGGACGCTCTTGTGGGACACTCTTGTGGGGGCACTCTTGTGGGACCCTGTTGTAGGAAGCTCTTGTGGGACACTCTTGTAGGACACTCTTCTGGGACACTGTTGCGGGACACTCTTGTGGGACACTCTTAAGGGACACTCTTGTGAGACACTCTTGCGGGACACTCTTGTGGGACACTCTTGTAGGACACTCTTGTGGGACACTGTTGCGGGACACTCTTGTGGGACACTCTCAAGGGACACTCTTGTGAGACACTCTTGTGGGACACTCTTGTAGGGCACTCTTGTGGGACACTCTTGTGGGACACTCTTGTGGGACACTCTTGCGGGATACTCTTGTGGGACACTCTTGTGGGACACACTCTTGTGGGACACACTCTTGTGGGACACTGTTGTGGGACATCCTTGTGGGACACACTCTTGTGGGACACACTCTTGTGGGACACTCTTGCGGGACACTCTTGTGGGACACTCTTAAGGGACACTCTTGTGAGACACT